CATAAAATGACTGGAGTAACTTTTTTATTTTATCATCCGGCCATTCTGCGAGCTACTTCGGCGTGCTTGCATACGCGACCGTAGGTACGTAGATAGGTAGGTAGGTAGGTAGGTAGGTAGGCAGGTAGATAGGTATGTGTGTAACCGGTATTACATATATATAAAGGTAAGGCATAGCACGCGAACACGCGAGTACGAAAGTGCGATCGAAGTAACCTAGACTCTCCGTTTCCAGGCCAACATCGTGCGACTCTCTTCGAGGTTGCTCAGTCAGTATAAGTACGTGTACTTCTTTTACGCCGCGACGCTAATTAAGTATATTTTACCAGTATGCACGTCTCTCTAAAAGCGAGTCTTTTCGCGAAGAATTTCATGAATCGCGTCGGACGGTAGTGGTCGAAAAAGAGCACGTCGAAAATCGTTTCGGTTTCCCAAATTGTCCGGCGTTGCTTGCTCGGTGATGCGGAAAGCGCCGAATGAGGGCGGCCGGCGATAGTCGACGGGATGCTGCCGGGGAAAGGGGAAGGGAGGAAAGGCTCTCCCCTAGGAGCGCGTTCATTCCATATGTACAAAGGCGCGAAACGCTTGAACGACGAGTACAGAAACGGGCAAACCGGTAGAACAAAATGCACCGATGGCACGCGCAAGCGACTGTCACCCGTCATTACCCGTTCGTGCTCGATTTTTGGTGGCGTTTTTTTTTCAGTTCGTTCTTTTACTCGCCTCAGCGCCAGGCTCTTTGAAAAGTACCGACGTCTACTCTGTCAATTACTGATAAAAACGACGACAGGTTGCGCAGCGCGAACGACAGACTAGAACCAGGAATGTAAATTATCACGTCTGGCCGGACGATAAATAACGCGCGACCTCGCCGAGCCCAAAAATGCGGCGGTCGTTTTGCCTGAGGTAAAACGACGAAAAAAAAGAGCCGATGATTCCGCGAGAGGACAACCTGCGTGTCATCCGTCTAACTGCAGAGATCCGTTAAACGCGCCCCTATACATCCTGTTTGCGTAAAGTGATACAATTTTTTTTTTCTGCGCGCGCTCTGAATCCTACCCCTACTCCTGACATTTTATTGAATGCACTGACATTTGAGAAATTTCTTCCTTTACATGGAAATACTTTTGAAAGTCGCCCCCGATATCTCGCGTGGCCTCTCCGACACACGATTTCTCCGGTTATCTCAATCGTAATGGCGGTGTATTATGGCGGAGGGTCTAACCAGATTCGTAGAGAGATATGATTACGGTAGAAACGAGTTTTTCTTCGCTTGACATGCCGATGAAATATGATCACGGCAACCAACGTCCGTGAGACGTGGGGGATGTGGGTGGATGTATGCGGCGTCGTTCAGCGTGCATAATGTCTCATAAAACGCGCGGCGGGGTTATTTTTCGGGAAACAACGACGGTAGCCGACCGTTTCTATCGCGTCCGGCTGAGAGAACGAGATATTTCATCGTACATTTTTCCCTACGCGCGTTTGTATACCAAAAACCAAGATTTCTGCAAACAATAAACACGATAGATGATTAAATTCATGATATAAATTTTTCTTTATTACATAATGTTTTAAATATACGACAGTTTTTAATCTGAGTCGTGATTGTTTCTAATATTTATTCATATTCAGATTTCTTATATCACTCGTTAGCTACGATTCTTCCAATCAGTTCGAAATAGATATTTTGTCAATGTCGAGATATAAATACCGAGAGCAGTGCTTCTTAAACTAAGAGTACGATACAAAAAAAATCTATCAAAATCTATAAAATCTATAAAAATATACTCTTTAAGTAGGTTTAAAAACGAGAATTTTGCGTTGCCGGTCTTCGAAACAAGATTGCTGCAAATGATTCCATTTGAAAATTTGCGAAACTATTTTCTGGTTGTTGCCAGAGTCAGCCACCGGCTCAATGTTCTCTTTATGGCGTCGAAAAATCTATTTATCGTTCGCTTCGCTCGCTTCGCTCGCTTTCGGTTGTCGTGCTGAGGTCGAACCGTAGAGAATCCATTTTGCAGCGTGATGTGAAAAAGCAGGACGTTGACATACCGCGCGACCGAAAGAACGATAGCGAAAAAGAGAACGAGAACAAAGAAGAAGGGAAACAACTAAAAGAGAAGAACGCGAAAGAGCAGTCTACGCACCATGTATCTAGATATATGCGTACGTATATATGTGTATCATAAAAGGTACTAGAGCATACGCCATATGAAGTAAAATGACGTGTGATTTGGAAATATTCGCCGCCTACGTCATCGCGAATTACTGACCGGATCTCGCCTGTAACCGGGACACCACCGGCGGCATTTTTCACAATATACGCAGTAAAGTCAGTACACGCTTGCGTAACACGTAACTCATACACGAAGCCGGCCAGACACGCAGGAAAACGAGGGAGCAATCCATCGAGAGCAAAAGAGAGATAGAGAGAGAGAGAGAGAGAGAGAGAGAGAGAGAGAGAAGGACAAAAATAAATGAAAAAAGACGCGATCTCGATAGCTACGTTCCCTTAGCCCGTGAGGGAGGCGCACCTTTCCACCCCACGAAGACATCGCCACACGGACAGGCGAACCTCCGAGGAAATCTTCGTAGTCGACCCCGGACTGTTTCCTTTTCCTCGAGTTAGACAGGACAGACGAGATGGATCTGCATTAACTATGAATTCCACCCATCCCCTCTGCTATCAAGTGGTCCGTCCTCCTCTTCGACCGCGTCTATCTCTCTCCCTTTTTCCCTCGCGACATCTTTGCCTCTTTCCTGTCGCTCTGTTTTAGATGACGCTGACACGGAGTGTCAATTTTCCGACCGACTGATGGATATAAGCCGAGCGCGTTACGCGAATTAAAAAAGGCAAAAGGACAAAAAGCGTTCGTGGATTTCCCCTGCGTGTTACCTGAATGCACTCCCGTCTGTCGACTATCGGGGAGAATTGCGAAAAACGGAGCTATTGAATTCAGATCGGCATCTCCATTGGGGAAAATAATTCGTTCCGCACTGAACGCGGCTAACTCTCGTCATTCGTTACTCTAACAGTATGCTAGTTCCGCTACGTCCACAGGTTGGACGATGTTCCGCTTTTTCGAGGATCAACCGATATTTCGAGAGGATATCCGTGATCGGTAACTCGATCATGGATGTTCGCAGGAAGCTTTTAAAAGCGTGTAGCTCCGCTCTGATTTTCCATTACCTACTTACTGCTTTGTTACATTGACCCAGCAACAACGCGCATGTTTTATACATCGCGTCGATACGACATTATCATTTCCCATCGTTGAAATTCGCATTCAAATCCGGCGAGAGCTTTCCGACAGTCGAATTAGGATTACGTCGCGACATAATTAATTGACTGAAATGCCGGGGATGTATCATCGTCATTACGGAGTCAGCGTAAAGCTCGCCCGGATTACCAAACTGCGGCGACAGATTACCGCGTAATGATCGCCCAGTTAGCATTGCATCCAGTCATCCGATCCTAAATTCACATTTATTAACGTCGCAACGACAAGAAACGACGCCATGGTGTTTCGTGCACAGCTACAAGCTTTTCTAATTTGCATGCGGGCTCGCGAGGCATCGCTTCGTCCGGTCAAGTTTAACGTAAGCGGTCTTAAAGTCCGTAAAGTACACTCCGTTGCCGTCTCCAAGATTGAGCTTGGCACCGAAGACTCGTGATCACTTCCATGGAAGTCCAAGCAAACCGCACAAACGCGCGAGAGATTCGTATTTTTCACGAAGGACATATGTGAAATCTCGATAACGCGAAATTTTAATTGCGAGCAAGGTGTCGTGCTGAGGCAACGCTGACACGTGTTCGCGATACAACGTACATGTAATTCAACGCGATGCGTGCGCTCGTTATTTAGCCGCCGAGCCGCTCCCTGCTCGAAACACGCGTCAAAACATTGCTCGTCTCTTTGAGACGAGTCACACCGGGCTTTTTTTTGAGCCCGGCCCTAGGGAGCGGCAGTCACGTCGATGGCGTTTACTCTCGTCCTTTTCCGCGCATTCGACACTCGCGACGCATTAGTAGTCCGTTCTCCTGTTTCCGCTTCCGCGAGCGTCCTTGAGCGTGAATATTATATTTGAATAGAGAACGTTACGCATACTTTCACAATAGTTCTTCTCCCTTTCCCTTATTTTTTCATTGCTCGTCTCTTTGAGACGAGTCACACCGGGCTTTTTTTTGAGCCCGGCCCTAGGGAGCGGCAGTCACGTCGATGGCGTTTACTCTCGTCCTTTTCCGCGCATTCGACACTCGCGACGCATTAGTAGTCCGTTCTCCTGTCTCCGCTTTCGCGAGCGTCCTTGAGCGTGAATATTATATTTTGAATAGAGAACGTTACGCATACTTTCACAATAGTTCTTCTCCCTTTCCCTTATTTTTTCGCGCACGAATAATACGGCGAGAGTCTCTTGTGCGCATTTATAACAAGATTATTACGATGACAATTAATTTCGCGAAACGATTACGCGTATATCGAAAAATCGAGTCGTACTTTTGCCGAAATATTATAGCGCGAATAATGAGAAAGAATTATATTTTTTTATAAGCATTCTGGTGGAGGACGAACTTTTTGCATGCGCCATCGATCGAAAGCGCGCGACCGACAGCAGCGTCATAGCTAATAAGTAAACCGTAATAAATTACGTAGATCCAGAACGTTCGTTCGTGCAAAAGGATTATCTCGTCGCGTTTAAATAACGCTCGAGCGGACGAGCGTATCGGAGCTTTCGATCTGGTTTCGCGACGCGACGCATGCGACTCGATTCTCTTTTATACGCGCGATCGAACGCGAGATACGCGCGTGGAAAAAGTGGCGCGTCGCTCGGGCTCTCGTAGATTTCGAGAGTCCTAGGAAGAGGAGCACAACCCGCGTTGTCCGCGGTCATTGTCCTCGCGCACGAAACGTCCACAGCGGAGAAACTTGTCCGTATCACGATCGGACGAGAAAGTTACTTTAACACTAGAGCATTTTCCGTTGATCTTTACTCACCAGTATTCTGCGCGATAATCGGGTCAATCGCCAGCAACACGACGAGGAAGATAGGAGTCATATTGACCACCTTCTTTCCCGCCTTCCCTCGGTCACCCGTGATCACTGCACACTTAACACCACAGCAGCGTGCCACCTATGAAAAGATAAATCACCTTCGTCATAAACATACCACCTTCATCACTGAGGGGGAGAACGAAGAAAAGCAAGACGATGACGAGATGACGCGTCTGTCTTCCTGACGAAGACGTTGCCGCAAACGTGACACTGGACAATGATCGGTAAGATCGAAAAATTCCTCTCCTTCGTCGCACACACAGGCGCCGCGAGGAGAAGATTGTTCCAAGGGGAGGAGAGGAGAAAAATTGGATACGTTGAATTCTCGAGCAGTACGACGTAGACGCGGATAATCTCGCTGAGATTAGCGTTTGCCTCTCGTTCAGGCAGGAACAAGAAAGCGTAACGAGGAGTTTGAGCTACGCGTAAAAAAATACTTGTTTCTGGTGCGTTTACGATATAACTGTACAAAACGACGGAATAACGCAAAGGTGCCTATTCAGCGGCCGTCGAGGGAAAGTATCGACACACGCCATTTAACACTCTCCTTCTCTCTGTCTCTTCCTCGCGCGCGCTAAAATATTCCGCGAATGTATCGAAAAACGGTCGGCGTGGGCAGTCGTTGGCGTTAGGGGAGAAAGAAGCGCGCGTTTTCCTCCGAGCCGGTCGCTGACATCGTAATAATGGCTGCGATCGTTGTGCCACTTTCCCACGGCGATCCCTCTGTACGTTCACGCAAGCGAGACTATTTACATTCTTCCACCGTCGCCGTGTCCGCTCGTGCTCGTTCTTGCCGGTTTAATGGAAGGATCAATTTTGGAAAGGATGTCACTTCTAGACTGGCCTCCGAAAGGCAGAACGTCACGATGTATTTCCCAGGAGATAGAAGATATTTCCACTTTACTCTCCCTCCGACATTTTCCGCTCTCACGCCACGATTCTTCCCTCCTTGTTCCGTTTCGCCGAGTCACCTCGTCACCGGTCGTCTTCTTCCTCGCGTCGTTTTCTTCTCTCTCGATACCGACGATAGGTGCTAATAAGCTACACGCGGTAGCTTCTGGTAGTTCAGAATATCCTTACTTGGAATGTGTAAATGATTATCTGCCGCCTTATACCAAACTCTCCTCTGCCGTTCCTCTGACTCTTAAAAATCCCACATTCTTGACTGTGGGCTCTCGTTGCGATTATCTCGACTCTTTCTTCCTGTGATTCCACGACCATCCCATATTTTCGCGTGTCGCACGCTCTAAGCCGAGAGCCCTCACGACAAAGCTTTTACCGAGCTTTGCCGCGCGAGACGTTGACCCTAGACTTGGCGCTGACCACGGTTCCGACTCGCGTTACATCCTCCACGTAACAGGCTGTAATTGTTCCTCTCTGCTTTCCCGCAACTTCCACCAGACGGATAGACTTTTCATTTTCCACTCGATGCTTCTAGCGTTCTCGTTATATCCTCTTTTCCTTTGATTTCTTGCTAAGCAAAGTATATATACATATATATGACGTAACTTCCGCTGCGCTCAGAAAGTCCAAAAATGAAATAGCTGCTTTTTGATAAAACCACTGTAGAGAGTGCTGTAATGTAGCTCTTTTTCGCGAAACAATGGCGGAGCGTTGTAAAATGTAGGAATCTCTCTCTCTCTCTCCAACTCTCGTCAGGAAATGCGAACGATCCGTTCTGTTTAGCGATCAAGTCGAGTCCACAGCAGAGTCGGGTAGAGAAATTGTTTCGCGAGAAAGAAAAACGAGACGGGTACGATTAATAGTAGTAGCTCGCGTGTTGATATTTGTACGGCGGTATTACATAGAGGTACATTGCACTCGCGACTACGGACTCCTTCGAATCTTGTTCCGTGTTACCTCCCTCGCCGCACGCAACGTTACGTTCTTCTCACCATCCAAATCCTGCGAGTATATCTTCCACAGTATTTTTCGCTGCATTTATATGTTTTACAACACGTTTCTCAGTTGCACTTCCCGTTCCTCGTCTCCAAAGCCGTGCTCGATGTCGACGAAAGCTTAATCTGATTTCTCAAATTCTCGAACGTTCGCCTTTCCGGCCGTCCTTCCCATTTCTATTGTTTTTTTTTTATTTTTCGGAATATTTTGCGTAAATTTGTAACAGCATTAATCAATTTTGTCAACAATCTCTCGCATCTTCTCTATGCCTGTCTCTACTTGATACGACACTCTAAATAATGCCGTGTGTTGCGTTTTTCGTGCAAAAAAATCAGCCCCTTTCGACAGGCAGGTTTGTCTTCAGAAGACGTTTTCAGGTTACAAGGGAAGGAGCAACGACTCGGCGAACGCGAGCCTCGGATTCCTATCGCGTACTCGCGCGACTCAATTATAAATTACTCCGACGAGCGTATGAGACCCCGCGTTAAGGGTAGTTTTCTGAACGCGCGCTGCGGCCTGACTGACTCACCCCCATGCCCCCCGACAGCACCCCCCACCCCGTTTGCCCGCCGCCGACATTCCTGACGCAGGCGCACCGCCCCTCTCGACCTCGGGATCGTCGTACGTACACGTACGAATTCGCGCCAGACTAGATTTTACGACTATCGAGAGAGATACTCTTGGTTCTCCTTTCTCTTATACTTTTTTTTTTCTTACTGGACTAAAGCCGCGAGTTACGAGCGAGTTTATGTATTCCCAGATATATGTCGGAATGTAAGTCGCGAAAGAACTTGTTGGCCTTGGAAATTTTTCAATATTCTTCGCGACGGTGTTTTCATTGCGACTGTATCTCCTTTTCCATCCGTTAACATTCTTATTAAAGCGACGATATAAAAGATGATCATTTTATCACTGAGAGAGAAAAAAATACACGCGTTATAGCTAACAGTTCTATCTCGGGGAGTGCACTTCTCAAACCATATCTCTTGCGGAATTGTTAACGGCATTGTGTGTTACGCGGGCGAGACGAGAGCGAGAAACGGGAGCAATTCGGAGACCCGAAGAAAGGGAAGAAGATAGCCGCGAGTTAGGTAGGGGGTTGGTTTCGGCGTTGGTTTAAAAGCGACGCATGCGTCTCCCGCGTAAGGGGATGTCCGGGGTGAGCTGCCTGCCGTACTCCGGCCGACGTATCGCAGTTTCTGGCTTGATGTTTGTCCGCGTGGTACTCCCAGGGACGGCTGTGCTCGTGGCAACCCACGAGGGTGCAGCTAATGTATCTCCTAAAGGAACATCTCTCGCGCGGAGAAAGTTAGCAAAGCGGATAGAGATGAAAGAAAAAAAGCAAAAAGGAGGAAGGAGAGAGAGAGAGAGAGAGAAAAAGAACGCGACAAAGGAGAAATTATCGACGGTGATCACGATCTGCCACGCTTGCGCCTTCTTGCTTCGAGAGATAGTCCGGAATCTTTCCCTTCTTTCTTTCGCGCCAACATTTGGACTCTTCGCCGTCCGGTCATGGAACTCAAGAGACTCTTGGGAATCTACATGGAAGACGGACTCGGTGGGACTGATCGTTTTTTCAACAGGTAAGTGCCGTGACGCGTTTACATATGCCAGTGTGTATCCGTCCACGTGTACATTTGAACGCGACAAATCGAATTTTCGGTTGTATTAAAATATTATGCAAAGTTTGTCGTAACTTAAAAGTGGAAACTAAATATGTTTACGTAAAAAGAATCGTCGCAAAAATATCAAATTTTTATAATGTCTAATAATATCTTTTGATAAAATGATATATCTGTAATTTTAAATAAATAGGATAATATGACATACGATATGACATTTAAAAAGTAGAATTAACAGTAATTAGATATTATAAAATCACTAAAAATCAACAACAAACTTCATTTTAACTACCATAAAGTCAAAAATGTAAACATACACAGACATTAATTTCATTATTGGAAATTCATTGTATCGTTCCATTTATCTGAAGATCTCGATGAAAGTAAGCTTGGAAAATCGGCCAAAATTTCCGTATTGAGCAGCGAGATAGGATGGCGGTCTACTAGCAATTAATTATTCGCGGTAATTGGTCAATGTTTACGACATCGCCGCGGAAGTAATTTATGCTCCTTTATGCTTTTATTTCGCATTCTCTTTTTACGGCCAACCGTACCTTTAATGCCACCTCTTTCTCTCTCTCTCTCTCTCATCACTTGTGTCGTTCCCCTTCGACCGCTAGCTCCAGCATACTGACTCACTTCCGCAGTGGATGCGCATTTGTAAATGTGTTGAGTTAGCACGCGACTCTTTTGCATATGTCAGTATATATCGAATTCTTTGAACATGATATATCGGCGTGAATAAAAACGGTTATTTTACTAAAACCTCGCGTTAACTTGACGAGTATATCAGCGCTCAGATAAAAATAAAAGCAAAAAATTATTAATAAATTTTAATATAATAAGCATGTAACGTGTGATAAATCGAGCAATATATAATAATAAATACAGACAAGATTAGCCAGATATCCGTTTTATACCCATGACATGAATTTATGATCGTAACGCGTTCTCGATATATATGTAACATTCACTAAATATTTTTAAATAATAATTTTCGTAGTTTTCTACTAATTTTACTTGTCTAAATAAAATTTTGAAATTTTTGGTATCTTGTAATAAAGATGTCGAAATACTAATCGAATCAAACAATTATCTATACTTTCATAGATAATATCATAACATAGATAGTAATCGATGTGTACGGTTTAATCGATCCGACCATTAAAGCCGGTGTCAAACCATCATAAACGTGAAACAATTATATTATTAATCGCGTAATTCAAGTTTAGGGACATGGAATATTTGATAGATGCAGCGTGGAAAATATTTATTAGATAGCATAGAGCGGCAGGTTCGTCTATGTCTTCATCGTCTATACGAAAACTTTACTCATAAATCGAACGCCGTTTAAAATTGCAAATAAAGTCGGACGACAGTAAAGTGAGTGCCGAGAGCTTAATGCAGAAATATGCGCGAAAGCGCGAGCTCGCTCACGTGCGGACCAATGCGAAAACTAAGAAAAGAAGGAAAAGAAAGAAATATAAAAATGCGTCTCCCTTTCTCTCTTTCTCTCTCACGCCGCGCGTAGTCGAGAACCAGGGAAATGCGCTCACCG